GTGTTGGCCTAAAGGCCACCCAGGTGGTTTTCATGGCTAAAGGAGGAGTAGAACTCACAATCCCCTGGTGATTAGTCCAAAGTCACCCAATTGGCTTTCATGGCTAAGGTGGAACTTGAACTCACGGCCTCCCGCTTTCTAGCCAAGTGTCTTAACCACCAGACCAAACTGGCTTTTTTCTTTCAAAAAATGAAATTAAATAGTCTATGACTAACTACAAGTATAGAATTTTGATATTATTATTATTATTATTATTATTATTATTATTGTTGTTGTTGTTGATGGTGTTGTTTTATTGTTATTGTTATTCATCACATGGTCAGCCAGATGTTCAGACTGGGTTTGGCATTTTTGTCTACCTATCGAGTCCCTACCAAGGACCTGGGGTAGGCAAATCTGGATGTTTGATAGTGCTACAGATATCTCCGCAGGATGGAAACTGTTCCAAGTCAAACATCCTTCTGCAATTGACCGATGGTGAATGTGTCAATGCCACCAATGTGTTGAAATGGTGCTCCACTTTTGGGGGGATTGCACCCAAGACGCCTATTACTATTGGTAATACCCTTGCTTGCCTTTTCCATAGTCATTCTATTTGTAGGTCTTTATAATTTGTTATCTTCTCCAGTTCTTTCTCTTCTATTCTGCTGTCATTATTGTTGTTGTTATTATGATTGTTGTTGTTGTTGTTGTAGCTGGTCACACAGTCAGCCAGATGTTTAGACTGGGTTTAGCATTTTTATCCAGCTATCAAATCCTTCTCAAGGAACTGGGATAGATACGGTTGTTTAAATGTTATTAAAGGTATTGTTGCAGCACGTACAATGTTTCAGGTAAAGCTGCCTTTTGCAATTGACCGATGGGGATTTTGTCAATGACAATGATATTCAAGTGGCGTTCCAGATGTTTTGCAATTAAACCCAAGGCACTTATTACAATTAATGCCAATTTTGCTTTCTTTTGCCACAGTGGTTCCACTTCTATTCGCAAGTGCACAACATCCCCCTTCTTCTTTAGCGGCCAGAGACAATCTCACCTCTGAGAGGTTTTCTTATAATTTCGTGGAAAAGGATTTCCACAGTGCGACTGAACAATAAAGACATGCAAAATAAGTTTCAAATCAGACTGGATAAAACCTAAAAGGGCTACCACTTTCATGACTTGGAAAAAAATAGGAAAATAATCATTCCAATGAGGGACAATTAATTAGAATCTAAAATAAACATTTTCCCTCTCTTTCTCTCTAATTCCAGTTAAGGCTGTTGTGTTAACTTCGTGACAGTCCAAGCATTCAATCTCCTGTAGAAATACAGTATGTCTGACCTAAGCAAATCAGGAATCTGTCATTTTTGGGGTGGGGTGGGGTGGAAGATTCTGATTGTGCTATCAGGAGAAGCTGTAATCTCACAAGACAGGCTGTCCTACAACCTAGAAAGCAGCTTTACAGAATACAGAGATGCTGACTGATGCATTAGGATCACACTTACTTGCAACCGTTTCTCGTGCATTGACCTCGCCCTGAGCAGAATTTGAGACAAGATGGACCAATGTAAACTGCAGGAAGGGGGAAAATAAAAAAATAAATGTGCTGAAGTTAAATTCCAGAACTTTGGGCATATTTAACTGAAGTGCATACAAAGTTCATTACACTGTATCTAGCAAGACTAAGTACATACAGGTTGTCTTGGACTTACGACTGTAATTGAGCCTGAAATTATGGGTTGTAATTACAGGCTCAATTGTGTGCTGATCATTACCATGTGATTGCACTTGATTTAATAGAAATAGAATAGAACAGAACAGAACAGAGTAAAACAGAAAAACAGAGTTGGAAGGGACCTTGCAGGTCATCTAGTCCAACCCCCCTACCCAAGCAGGAGACCCTACACCAGTGGTGGCTAACCTTTTTGGGCTCTTGTGCCAAAAATTGTGCGCGTGTGCTCACGTACCAGCACCCAGAAGGCAATGCACATGGGGCCCCCCACACTCCCTGCACATGTGCACACGATTCCCCCTGGCCACCCCCTTACCTGCACTGCGCCTCCCAGTTGATTTTCGGCCTTTTTCAGCCTGCCAGAGGCTTGAGGCAAGCCTCTGCAGGCTTCGCAGGCTGAAAAATGGACCCGTTTCATCACTTCTAGTATTTCCGGAAATTTAGGAAGTAATGAAATGGGCCTATTTTTTAGCCTGCAAAGCCTGCAGAAGCTTCCCTCAAGCCTCTGGCAGGCTGAAAAAGGCCCAAAAGTCAGCTGGGAGGCACGCGCATGCGCAGTGAGGTAAGTTTGCCTGGGGCTCACGTGCCCACACAAATGGCTCTGCATGCCACCTTTGGCACATGTGCCATAGGCTCACCATCATGGCCCTACACCATTTCTGACAGATGGCAGTCCAGTTTTCTCTTGAAAGCTTCTAGTGATGAAGCTCCCACATCCTTTTATGACTTTTTTTCATCCTTCTGCTGCAGCTCTCTGTTGCTCAAAATATGTGTCGCAACCACCAATGTGCGACACCTGCCAACACGCAATTTAGTGAGCTTTTTGGGCCCCCGGTAGTCTAACCATGGATAAATCCAAGGAAAGAAAAGTTTCAGAAGAAAACAGAATGTGTAATGGTACATGGGCAGATTCGTTTGCTTTCACTGCTGACGAGACTGGTTTACCGGTATGCTTAATATGTGGCGAGACTGTGGCAAACAGTGCAGTGTTATCTTCATTTTGGATGTTTTGTGACTCCCGGTGTTTTCTTTTCTGTGGGAAATGGGTCCAAATAGCTCTTGTTTAGTGTTTAAGGTTGCCGACCCCTGGCCTAGTTAAAGGTTACACACAGATGAACAGGTAATATGTAGACAACACCGGTGGTAATAAATACTACTAACTGCTGTCAATTGCCCACATGTTTCCAAGAACCGATCCAGTTTGTCGCCATCGGATTCTGGTATCTCTGGTTAAGGCTGCATTTGGAAGGGGAATAGTTATACGGTTCCACCTGAAACAAAAGAGATGAGATTTCCTACTTTTAGAGTGACAAGTTGGTTTTAAAATGTAAAGTCGTTTGGCTGAAATGAAACACAGAAATTCCAGTTCCATCTACAAGCAGCACAAGGTTGTTTTTCATTGCAGGTAGTCCTAGACTTACGATCCCAATTGTGCCCTTCATTTTACATGGCGAAGTGAGTTTTGCCCTGTGTTACACATTTCCTTGACACAGTTGTTCCGTGAATTGTTGCGGTTAAGTTGGTAATGTGGTTGTTGAGTGAATCTGGCTTCCCCCATTGACTTTGCTTGTCAGAAGGTCACAAAAGGGGATCGCGTGAACACTGCAACCGTCATAAATATGAGTCAGTTGCCAAGCATCTGAATTTGGATCACACAATCAGGGGGAATGCTACAACAGTTGTATGAAGAATGGTCACTAGCCATTGTAACTTCAAACAGTCACTAAATGAACTGTTGTAAGTGGAGAACTACCTGTAGTGATTTAAATTTGATGAGAATGCAGAATAGACGTAATGGTATAAATCCTACCCAGGTTATTTCTCAACACACAAAATTTATCACTATTGAACAATCTTATACTGCACGAGTCAAAAAGAGGGCTGTGAAAATATCTACAGACCCCTCACATCCTGGACATAAGCTGTTTCAACTCCTACCCTCAAAACGACACTATAGAGCACTGCACACCAGAACAACTAGACACAAGGACAGTTTTTTCCCAAAGGCCATCACTCTGCTAAACAAATAATTCCCTCAACACTCTCCAAATATTTACAAAGTCTGCACTACTATTACTGTTAATTTTCTCATCACTCCTTATCGCCCCTCCCCTCCCACTTGTGCCCATATGACTGTAACTTTGTCGCTTGTATCCTTATGAATTGTATTGACTGTTTCCTAGTATGGTTTGATTGCCTATTGCACCCTATGTCTATTATTAAGTGTTGTATGTTATGATTCTTGACTCTTGATGAATGTCTCTTTTCTTTTATGTACACTGAGGGCATTTGCACCAAGACAAATTCCTTGTGTGCCCAATCACACTTGGCCAATAAAGAACTATATTATCTATTATCTATTTTCCCACCAAAAGTTTTAGACCTACCATATTGTTCCTTTCAGTTCAGAAAGAATTTCTAGAAATACCATATTTGGTTATAACTAGTTTTTTTTTTCTTAAAACACAAACCTAGTTTTGACAGATGCTTCCAAAACTAAGCATTGTTCTGTCAAGTCCATTTTCATAGCTAAAATCCTTGAAGATGGAAGCACCTTTTATTCATTTTGGGAGAAGAACATTTTTTAACATCACACCCTTATTTAACTGCCTTGGTTTGCCAGAGAGAAGAAATTACAAGAAGTTGTTATCTTCACAGAATTATGAACAATTTAATTTGTTCATCATTTTTCAGCAGAGATATTTGCATCAAAACATTCCCTTACCCACTGTAGTTTTCGGATGCATAGACAGTGCTATGGGGAAGATGGGATCCAGAACATGTCTCTGGCAAACATTCAGAGTGAAGTAATGACCAAGAACGTCCGTGGTTGGTGGAGAATTCCAAACTAACACTGCCAACAAAAAAGAAAGACACAAAAGAGAACAATCTGATTTCTTATCTGGACTAAAATAGCAGTAAATTGGTATTTGCACCAAGAATGCATGAAAGCTTTATAATCATGGCTTATTAAATAATAGATCTTGTCTGAGTATATTCATGAACTGGAATAGAGCTTGGTAACAAGGTCAGCCAATGAATAGGCATAGCAACTAAGTCAGCCAATGAGGACTGATTGGAAACTGAAACTAGAAGTAGCCTAGGCTTGGCTCTGCATTAAGCTCTGCAGCTCTGAAGCTATGTTAAGCTCTGAGTCTGTCTATTGAGAATGAAACTGCTTCTCTCCTCTGCTTGCCCGCTGAACTAAAGTGAAACTGATGTCTGTTTCAGAGCTCCTGAGTTGCTGTTCTGCTCATGTAACATGTCTGCTTCTCTTTGAGTTTGCTCCATGTTGGAGAAATCTACAACTGGTATTGTAAAATTTACTTTATATGTTTATAAAGAAGTTAAATGAAACCTCAGTCATCTGTGTTGGCTTTGCTGGCGCTGAATTTACTCTGAACAGATCTTCCAGATGCCGAAATATGAAGTTCCTGGGAGCACTGAAAAGCTGAACATTCAAGATGAACTATGAGGCACCAAAACACGAGTTGGCTACCCACGCCAGAAAGTGATTGGCTGATGGGTATGTTCGACAATGCGTCTAAGCCTTACTTATGCTGCCGGCACATTTGATTAAATTCTACTCAACACTGAAAATCATTAAGTACTGATGAGAAGCCAGGACAAGAGAAATTGAGAGGAAAGGTTGGTGTTGTTCTGCCAACAATAGGTTCCTCAGATGACTTTGGGTAGGGGTGAGAAGGCTAAATGGGAGGTTAATTTGCTTATGAGAGGTTCTTGGTGGTCTTTGAGCTTGGCTGGTTTCTTGCAGATGTTTCATTACCAAACTAGGTAATATCATCACTGCTAGGAGGGAATGGGATTTGTGGAAAGGAGGGGGAGGAGAAGGAGAAGGAGAAGGAGAAAAGGAGAAGAAGAAGGAGGAGGCGGAGGAGGAGGAGGAAGAGGAGGAGAAGGAGGACGAGGAGGAGGACTGTGAGGTCCTTGATGCTCTCTGAGCTTGGTGGTTTTCTTGCAGATGTTTCATTACCAAGCTAAGTAACATCATTAGTGTTAGAGAGGAGTGGGGTGTGTGGAGTGGAGAAGGAAGAGGAGAAGGATGAGGAGGACTGTGGGGTCCTTTGAACCTTGGTGCTAGTTTAGCTAGAAGGGAGTGGGGTATGTACTGAAACACCTGCAAGAAAACCACTGAGCTCAGAGACCACCAAGGACCTCTCATTTCAACGGGGATCTACAAATATTCTACTTTATCGGTAAGCTTTATATTGACTAGATTCAGCGTTAGAAGGTATGAAGGTTAAGTTGTGCATGGATGTCCCAGTCAACATAAGCATTTTTGGAAACTAAATGGGAAAGGCAGACATTGGCTAGAGGACATTGCGGAGAATGTAGTGAGATCTTGCCCACAGTTCCCACCAGTCAAAATTGAAGTCCCCATCTTTAAGGATGCTATTCATCCTCACAGGAGACCTGCTTCGAAGGGCCAGAAGGCCTTCACAGCATCTCTTCCCTGACCTCCCATGTCAATCATCTCGTGCCATCTCCTGTCCCGTAAAAGCGCGGGGCAGTCAAAGCAGAGTGGTAAACATATTGCCAGGAACCCTGATGAAGCTGTGGTTAGAATGCAGCATTGCAGACAGACTATGCCCACAGCCTGGAGTTTGATCCTGATGGGGATGAAGGTTGACTCAGTCCTCAGTTGGTAAAATGAGGACCCAGATTGTTGGGGGCAATACTCTGACTGTAAGCCGCTTAGAGAGGGCTGTAAAGCACCGTGAAGTGGTATATAAGTTTAAGTGCTATTGCTATCTAAGCTGTGGTGGTGCAGTGGTTAGAATGCAGTATTACAAGCAAACTCTGTCCACAGCCAGCAGTTTGATCCTGACCAGCTTAAAGTTGACTCAGCCTTCCATCCTTCTGAAGTCAGTAAAATGAGGACCCAGATTGTTGTAGCAACATAGTGACATTGTAAACTGCCCAGAGAGTACTATAAAGCACTGGGGAGAGACTTGGTGGTGTAGTGGTTAAAGTGCTGTACTGCAGGTCACTTCTGCTGACTATTGGCTGCCTGCAATTTGGCAGTTCAAATCCCACCAGGCTTAAGGTTGACTCAGCCTTCCATCCTTCCGAGGTGGGTAAAAAATGAGGACTCAGATTGTTGAGGGCAAGAGGCTTACTCTGTAAAACTGCTTAGAGGGCTGTAAAGCACTATAAAGCAGTATATAAGACTAAGTGCTATTGCTATCTAAGCCGTGGTAGTGCAGGGGTTAGAATGCAGTATTGCAGGCAAACTCTGCCCACAGCCAGCAGTTCAATCCTGACCGGCTCAAGATTGACTCTGCCTTCCATCCTTCCGAGGTGGGTAAAATGAAGACCCAGATTGTTGGGGGCAATGTGCTGACTCTGTAAACCGCTTAGAGAGGGGCTATAAAGCACTGTGAAGTAGTATATAAGTCTAAGGGCTATTGCTATTGCTACATACATGCTTGCCAAGAAAGTTGATGCTGCCTTTAGCCATCGCACAATTCCTGTCATTGGCAGTTCAAATCCCAAGGTTGACTCAGCCTTCCATCCTTCCGAGGTGGGTAAAATGAGGGATTTGGTGAGAGATCTTCACTTGATTAACTCTTGTTGGTGGGTGGTTTTTTTTGTTTTTGTTTTTCTTTTTGACGCAGAACAACACCTACTCTTGAATTTTTAAGAAAACTTTGCCGCCTCTCATTATTAAAAATGAAAGTCAGTTACACTCATTCGGATGAAGCATGAGCCTCATTATATTCTGGGAGCTGTCAAGTAATTGGGGAAGCATTAAACAGGAATTTACTCGCTTGAAAAATGTGCGTGTACCCTAACGTAAAGCGGCGCAATTTAATTCGAACGGCGCCCCCCCATTTAAAATTCCGCAGTTGATGCATTAAAACAAATTAATAATTCATTAGCTTGACACCAAATAAGCAGAAGATGGCTTACCCACCTCAGAATCATTTATCTAGATATGGCTTCTCTTGAAGAATGCCCTTTTTTGTGCCGTTATTTTATGCCTGGTATTTTAAATTTGCATTAAATAGCCTATGAGGTTTCCCTGGTTCCACCTGAGGTAAAAATTTATATGGGTACCCCAAGGACCATATTCACTTCTTCGTATATTTATGCCGGGTTTCCTACACATTCCCAGTCATGAAATGAGGGTGCTATTCAAAATAATGCTTTCACGGTACCTGCGCTGCCAAATTGTTTTTGAAATTCAGATGAGATGGGTCGAGAGTTAGCAACTCGTAAAAAAAGAAAAGAAAAGAAAAAGTGGATTTGAGGGAACAACAGCAACCAAAAAAAAAAAAAAAACGTTTCAAAAGAGATCAAAGAGCTTCACTATCAAGCAGAAAATTATGCTGATCCATGTATCTTAAAAGAGAGTTTCATTTAAAAAAGAATTATTCATATTACAGCTTCTATTCAGCGCCATTTACTAAAAATGAAACAATTTAGGTCCCCATCCTGCAGTAATATCATGCTCAGCACCAGCAGAACAAATAAATATCTATATCAAGAAGGCCCTCATTTGCATATAAATGTACAGCAGAGTCGAAAGATTAGCGACAATGCATGGCAGGAATGATGAAAAAGGGGATTTTTTTCACCAGCCTCCTTTATCCCAAAGGATTTGGAATCACCGTTTCCAGAAGAGGTAGGGAACTAGCTTCTTGGAATCCCCTATTTCTGAAGACACCCGATAGACAAAGCCCTGGTTTAAACTTCTAAACTATTTCTTCCCCCTATTAATTTATTAGCTCGATACCCGTGCTTTGCTATGAAACTATGGGCTTAGTTTTTGGGGAGGAAAATAAGGGGGGAAAATTGTGCCTCTGCCTACCAGCAGCCATCGGTATTCATCTGGCTAGTGTCTTGTCAGTGTGGGAGAAAGTTGAGGGCTGTTTGGAAACTGAAACAGTATTTGCGGTGTGAGCAAGAAGGAGACAGCAAGGAACCTGGGCGTGGCTTAGCTCAACTGTTCTGTACTAAAGCTGCTTGGTGCTGTGAAACTGAAACTGAAACTCCTCTGCTTGTGTTTTGCATTTGGAACAGATTTCTTTTCAGGTGGGGAGGGGGAGTAGAACTCCTTAGCATCAGAGCGGGTTAATAATAATAATATACAAAATACTAATGCTCTGATGGTCATTTTGAAAAATCCTTTCTTAGTGAGCATCTAGAGGCCAAGAGAAACATATGTGCCAAATTTCAAGTTTGTAGGTTTTACGGTTCTGGAGATTTTGTGAGCCTTCAACTCTCTCAGACACTGACAGGACGCTAGCCAGATGAATACCGATGGATTCTGGTAGGCAGAGGCAGAATTTTTCCTCTCTTATTTTCCTCCCAAAAAACTAAGCCAGGTCACATAGTTTCGTAGCGAAGCACGGTGATCAAGCTAGTTAGTTATACACACAGGGCTTTTGACGCACATTTTTTAAAAAAAGGCAAACTTCAAACAGTCACTGAATGAACTGCTGTAAGTTGAAGACTGCCTGCACAAATTAAAGAACCGATTATGTTTGCCAAATGCCACCTGGATTTGCTTTACCTGTTGCCTGGTTGATGGGTTCCACAGCCCAAGTTAATGGAAAACTGGATCATATGTGTAACAGTAGAAGGAAGGACTGGCAAGACATGGAAGTAATCGACAGCCCAGATATTCCTGTTCCGTCCCTGGTGGTTCTTCTGCTTGAGGCAGAATTTGGTTGCCGGAGTCTGAAGTTCTGGACTGATGACAACTGAGACCAAAGAGGGACTCTTAGATAGAAACAACAAAAATCGGATGGTTAATTTAAACAAGTTTCCAGGGTGTAGCAAAAGAATGACAAATGCAGAATATACCGAATAATTGAGTTGGAAGGGTCCTTGAAGGTCTTGTAGTCCAACTCCCTGCACAGGCAGGAGATCTATACTATTTCTAACCAAGCCTCACCTTCTGCCCAGACTCATCTTGAAAACCTCCAGTACAACATCTGGAGACAAGCTATTAGCTATTCTACTGATTGATTGTTTTCACTGTTAGGAAATTTCTCCTTGGTTTTAGGTTGCTTCTCTCCTTGATTCGTTTCCATCTCCTCCCCCTCCTCTTCCTCCCACTTCCTCCTCCTCCTCTTCTTCTCCTCCTCCTCCTTCCTCCTCCTCCTTCTCACCTTCACCCTCTTTCTTCTCCTTCCCCACTGCAGGATGAAGGCCCCTTCCTCATATTTCCAATCCATATGGCCCTGAGCCTATTGTCAATTGGCCCCACAATACTTGCTGATATCATTGATCCATCTTGTTTAAGGTCTCTTTTGTGGATGCTTAAACATTCAGAAGTATGTTAGGAAGCAATACACACAAGAATGTTTATATACTAAGCATATAAACTTACATATACTTATCTATAGGTAAACGTACTTATATACTAAATATATAAACATTGCTAAGTATTTGTTGGGTATTTGTGCTTTTTAGTGAAAAGGCATGCAAGAAATCTAGAACTACAGTTTTACCGAAATGTAAAATAAGATAATCCTGATTTATCCCACTCTGGTGTTAAATTATAGCTCCCAAAGGCATTGAGACATAGAATCTTTAGTTTAAATGTAACTCCTTCAAACCCTAAGATCCTTATAAATTTAGCTCCTTCAAACCCCAAGACTCCTAGTTTAAATTGAGCTCCTTCAGACCCTAAGACCCTCAGTTTAATTGTATTGACTTCAAGCTCTAGGATCCCCCAGTTTAAATGTAAATGCAATTAATTTAATTTAATTTAAATTTATTTCCTTCAAACACACCCTCATGTGCTAATTTTTCTTTTCATGAACTGGGTCAGAATTTTTCTGTATCCCATCATCAACCTTTAAAAGTGACCCACAGTGTCTAAAAGAGTTTCAGAAAGTGGTGTTAACAGATATTTTTCTCTCTTTACAGCTCGGAATCAGTCTGTTGTAACCAATCTAATGCTCTTTTCGAATACTTACCCTGTGGGAAGCATAGGTCATTGCATCAAGGGTTATGTGATCTTTTCTTCCTTCAATTTTTGCGTATAATAAGACATCATTTTCATGAGCTTCTCCAGTGTCACAGCTTCCCCCTGAAATAAAATGCAAGATGCATTAACTTTCTTTCTACTTTAACAGTGACAATGACTGTTTTTTGGTTTATTAAGGTAATGTGGGCCAATATAGGGGAAATAATTCTAACTGAATATTCATATTTCTTTCATTCTAATACTAGTGGAACAATAATAGCAATAGCACTTAGACTTATATACTGGTTTATAGTGCTTTACAGCACCTTCTAAGTGGTTTACAGAGTCAGCCTCTTGCTCCCAACAACTTGGGTCCTCATTTTACCCACCTTGGAATGATGGAAGGCTGAGTCAACCTTGAGCCTGGTGAGATTTGAACTACCATATTGTAGGCAGCTGGCTGCAGCAAAAGTAGCTTGCAGTACTACACTCTAACCACTGCACTACAGGCTCCTAATAATAATATCCATAATACAATGGCTTGTATGTATGGTAAGTTTCTTACAATTTCCCTGGTGTTAAAAATGACCTATCTTCCTCTAATCATTCTTTACCTTAAGGTCTTATCTCTATCACAAGCGTATAGATTATAAAAAAAACTTAATAATAATATAATTGAAGAAACATATACCACTGTTCCTGGCCAGTGGCACCTACAGTCAAGGTAATGGGTTTTTGTTGTGTCATACAGATGAAAGCAAAATTGTGATTGAAACACCACCCTTTTTTCTATGTGTCACAATGTCACATCTATGTTGAAAATTGTATTACTTGCAGGATCATCCTGTAATGCGTGTTGTTGCTCTGGTTCCCACACTTTTCAAAGCTAAGACTGCCAAATCTTTTCACTTATTTGATATTTGCAGGAGGAAGACATTGTCCACTAATGTTAAATTTACATGTTGTCCTTTTGAAGTATATACTGAATTAATCCTCACTAATATATTTGGAAAGAGGGCAGAGAAGAGCAACAAAAAAGATTAAGGGGATAGAGGCTAAAACATATGAAGAACACTTACAGGAATTGGGTATGTCCAGTCCAATGAAAAGAAGGAGTAGGGGTGACAAGATAGCAATGTTCCCATATTTGAGGGGCTGCCCCAAAGAAGAGGGAGTCAAGCTATTCTCCAAAGCACCAAAAGGCAGGACAAGAAACAATGGATGGAAACTAATCAAGGAGAGAAACAACCTAGAACTAAGAAGAAATTTCCTGACAGTGAGAGCAATCAACCAACGGAATAGGTGGCCTTCAGAAGTTATGGGTAACCCATCATTGGAGGCTTTCAAAAAGAGATTGGACAACCATTAATCTGAAATGATATGGGTTCTCCTTCTTGAGTAGGGGGTTGGACTAGAAGACCTCTGAGATCCCTTCCAACTCTGTTATTCTATGTTCTATTTTCCTTCTGTCTTAGTCAAGATTTGAGTTTTCTGTAGTCTTGAAAGAAATAATGTAATATTATCTGGACATGTAGTAATATTATCTGGACATGTGGAAATATAGTAGTAAGGGATCAGAACTGATCTAACAATTAAAGTGATACCATAATTATATGCGGGGTGTAATGATATATCAATTTTGAACATTAAATTAAATTTAGATAATACAGAACCAGATTGTCTCATAATGAGCAAGCTCAAAGACTGAGAGTTGATAGATTTATTAAGTCAACCTTTGCAGTCTGATATGTTCTTCCAAGAATTCATTATCACCTATCTGAAACACCTATCTGAAATATGAAATTCACAAATTCTAATTTTGGAGGATTTAATTCAACAACATATTAACATCTTTAACTTCCTATCAAAGATCTAGTTCACCAAGTAATCATAGTTAAGGATTTCCAAGAACAAGAACAAATTATGTCCCCTAACATTCCTTTGAGGTTATTACTATGCCCTGGTGTAGTGTAAGAACAGTTAAACATCAATTGAAGAGTCCCAAGCTTGCAAATAATTTACTGCTCAATTAAGTTGTTAAATCAGAAGAGACCTACTTGGCATTTCTTAAAACGTGAGACCATATTTAAAATGTTTCAATTCTCTATTTCAAATTTCTCGTACATTATCCAAATTTATTTTGAAATTGCTGTTACATTATCAGTAGTAACGGAATGTTGGCTTAATCTTCATAAAAGCACACAGATTTACAGCAGTTGAATTATCAACAGCAGCAACAGATCTGGTAGGACTGTACAATTTCAGGCTACAAGTGGAAGGATCACATGTTTGAACGTGGCTTAAAAAAGGAAGTGTTATATGTAATTGTATCATTCATCTTGATAACGTTGTTCAATGCATGCTCAGAAGTTTTTTTTTTTTCACATAGTAGAGATTTATATTTGCATTTTCTCATGGCATAAACTAATGCTAGTTGAACACTTGCATTTTAAACTCCAAATAAAATCGATTCTTTTTTTTTTTTAAAGCAACTTCTGAATATTCCACCAATTCATTTTCATACAACTGGTGTTTTTCAGTGAGGTTATCCAAGCTGTGCTGAGCTAACAGCTTTGCCTCAAGAGTTCAGAAGGTTGACAAAAGTGTCTTTCCTGTTTTCCATCAGGTGTGGCTCTCCTGGATACAAAACAAAAGTCTCTTTCCTGCTGCATTCTTGGTTCATCAAACGGGATTTGACAATTGAGACGGAAGATCAGAGAATTCCCTTCCAGTAAGAAATGGTGTTTTTGTATCTTGTTGACAGAAAAAACCCCAGTGTTACCAGGGAAAACAGATTCATTCTGTTTCCTTTCTCGTTCTTTCCATTTCACATTAATGGACGTAGTGTTGAAAGGATGAGTTTCCCTGTACAGTTTATCCTGATTTGTGGATGTTGCAGAATAATATTCAGGGAGGGAAGGAGAGGAAGGAACATTAGGGAAAACTGCTGCAAGGTATTGCCAAATTTAAACATGTTTGCTGATCTCAATCTTAGTTCCAATCATAGAAAGTTTCATGAAAAGTCACTAATGGCATATCCCAAAGGTGCTTTTTTTGTCAGGAGGCAACTGGACTTTCTGGGTTTTTCTCTGAAGACGTTTCGCTTCTCATCCAAGAAGCTTCTTCAGCTCTGATTGGATCTTGGGGAACAGAAGGAGGACCAGACAGGGGGAACACTTACCTTTGACCCCACTTAGAGGAACAAGTTGGAGATCAACTCATTTGAACATACTCTCCTCCACTGTAGGAAAATATGAAATAGCGTGCACATAGCCAAAGAAAGATTAATGGCGCGTACTCACCCATGCTGAAGTAAAACCTCAGATTTCCATAACCTGTCATGTCCATATATGGAGTGCATAGTTTTCTCTCTCCTTCTCTGAGGAACACGGCGGATGAACCCGATTCCAAGGTCCCACATTCGGTGCCGATGACTGCTCCAGATATATCCCACCTAAAGACATCCAAGAGGTAAGGATCAGTTCATTTTTGGACTCAGTTCAAAAATACCAGATTTTTATTCTGGACATAAAGAATAAAATTTATTCTTTATTCTTTTTTAGTCTTAAAAACCGTGAGATGAGATATTATGAAGGAGCAGTACGTCCAAAATGAATTTGTCCTCTATTCAAGGGAGAGAACCCTTGATATTTGCACCACAATCACAAAAAGGTTAAATTGACGGGAACGCGTGATAAGGCAACAGAATAGTGAATGGTGAGCAGTTGTGGAATACGTAAAGCATTTGTATAATGCTTAAATACTCATAGCAACAGCACTTTGACTGATATACCGCTTCACAGTGCTTTACAGCCCTCTCTAAGCTGGTTTACAGAGTCAGCCTATTGTCACCCAACAATCAGGGTTCTCATTTTACCGGCCTTGGAAGGATGGAAGTCTGAGACAACCTTATAATACTATAAAGTAGTAGGACCGTTTTATAAAGCCTTGGTAAAACCACACTTGGAATATTGCATCCAGTTCTGATTATCACATTCTATAAAAGAACGTAGAAATTCTGGAAAGAGTGCAGAAAAGAGCAAGAAAGAGGATTAAGGGATGATTGGAGGCTAAAACATACGAAGAAGAGTTGCAGGAATTAGATATGTCTAGTCTAGTGAAAAGAAGGACTAGGGGAGACATGATAATAGGGTTCTAATATTTGAGGGGCTGCCACAAAGAAGAGCTACTCTCCAAAGCACCGGAGGGCAGGATAAGAAACAATGGATGGAAACTAAGCAAGGAAAGAGGCAACCTGGAATTAAACAGAAATTTCCTGACATGAGAACAGTTAACTAGTGGAACAACTTGCCTCCAGAAGTTGTGAATGCTCCAACACTGGAGGTTTTCAAGAAGAGACTTGTCAACCATTTGTCTGATCTCCTGCTTGAGCAGGGGGCTGGACTAGAAGACCTCACAAGGTCCCTTCCAACTCTGTCAATCTATTATATCAGTTCTCTGTTTAATCTTGCTCCAATTTCTTACACCTTGTTTATTACAGCGTTTTAAAGAACTTGCTTCTTTTATTTGGGGCATAAACGATACAAAGAGGTCTTAATCAAGAAAACATCTTTGGAATGCATAACTAAACGAGCTGCACTTTAAAGTACCTTTCTCTCTTCAGCAAACTCTCCATTCATAAAAGCATAGCTGCTGGGTGTGGTATATAATCTTAAATTTAGTTGTTTTTTTAAAAAATGAAATCAGTTACAAATTTAAAAAAAATGCCTGGAACAAAATAATAAAAATTAAGAGTGGACAAGGAAACAAGTGCTTCTACAATAACAGAGAATAATTAAGGACTAAACAGTTCCAATGTTCTTTTATATATATATATAGTTTTATAAGCTTATCAAGATATAAAATACAAAAGGAAATGAAAAAAACTGGGAAGGGAAAGGTGGGGGGAGAGAAGTGTAACATAAAGAGGGGAAAGGAAGAAAAGCATTGACCTCCAACGTTCTCTTTAGTGCAGTAGAATAAAGTACGAGAATAGCTTCAACTTTTTAATTTTATGTAACGATAGCAATAGCACTTAGATTTATATACCACTCCAAAGCGCTTTACAGCCCTCTCTAAGCGGTTTACAGAGTCAGCCAATTTCCCCCAACAATCTGGGTCCTCATTTTACCCGCCTCGGAAGGACGGAAGGCTGAATCAACCTTGAGCCGGTCAGGATCGAACTGCTGGCAGTGAGCAGAATTAGCCTGCAGTACTGCATTCTAACCACTGTGCCACCATGGCGCTTTAACTTCATATGTACTAGACATTTAGAGAGCACCAAGGACCCCACTGAAGTGACTGGTGTGGATGGGAGAACTGAGATAATGTAAATAGCCAAGCATACAGCGTTCACATTTTTTAAAATATATTACAGAAATATCGCCGGTACGCTGTATTGTTTTTAAATATGTGAAGTACTGAACGGTGCATAAGGCTTAGTCTTGTGAACTTTCAGGTTTGCCCAAAGTTTTTGAGGCTAGTTAGAAAATGTACCACTTATTGAGCGTGGCGGTAAACTTGGGTATCATTTCACCATTTCAAATTGCAGAATGTATCTTAATGTTTATAAGTGATGGGACATCTGTTCCAATTAAACAGTTCTAATTGCCAGTCAACATTAGGCTAAATGGGTTTCCTGGGAAATAACCCAATAAAGCAACAATCCTGATTTCTGTTAGCCCATTTCAACACATTCCCTTTATGGAATCCATGCATACTAATAGAAACATTATAAACGTTTCTATTTAACCATCTCATCCTCTGCTGTCACCTTCTCCTCCTGCCTTCAAACACACACACACACACACCACTGGTATTTTGTTAATTCTGCTTCTTTGTCTCTTCCAAGTTTTATATCTTTTTAGGCAGTCCAGCATTTCCAGTGAGGCTTTTGACATGTTCTTTAAAGGTGGCCGTGATCCTTGACCTCCATTAAAGGAGTCAGAGAAAGGGGAAGAAATATAGGAAGCACCTGTCTGTCCTTCTCTCTGCTCCCTCCCTCCAAATAAACCAACTGGAAAGTATGGTTTGATAGTAAACAGAAGGAAAGAAAATTTTAGGAGCTCTTGTATATTACAAAAGTGACAGCGTCCTTAATGTGGCCTGTTGGCCGCCGGCCTTTCCAGCAGCCGAATCAGAGGAGGAGGTAGTGTAGGAGTCAAGGCCAGCATTCAGGCAACCTGAGAGCTCCAAGGAGAAAGAGGGAATGAAGCTGGCAGAGAGAGAGAGAGACACAGATGTGGAGCCTGGGCCATCCGTCAGCCCTCAGATGGAGAGTCAACAGCCCCCAGGTCTGGAGGTGGCTGATGAGGAAGAGGAGGAACAGCTGGGTCCAGTGCCTGACACACAAATGCGCAGAAGGCAGAGGAGAGGAGAGCAGTGGAAATCTATGGGCCGGTCCTTGGGATGGAAGAGCCACCGCTGCTAGTGAAGCCCCACCCTAGTCCTGGGGATAAAAGGCAGGAGGCGGAAATGAATAGATGTCGCAGACAACTATTCATCTCCCTGCCGGACAGACTGGTTAGCCTGTGGTGAAAGAGAAACTTTTTGCTGTGGCTCCTAATAAAGGAATCATTGATTTAACTTCAGAGGGTTTGTTGTGTTTGGGGAGCTGGCTCAGAACAGTCCTGGGAGAAGATGTGTCCTAAATAATGCAGGAGGAAACTGTGTTCTGAAACAGGATGTTTCATTTTTATAGGTGGTGAAAAGAAAAAAACAACAACCAAATTGACGGGATATAGAGGTGAGGTCAGAATTTTCACCGATGGGAAACCGAACGCTTTGTAAAATCTGCAAGCGCTAAAGAGACGCCAAGCAAAATGATCAGCTTTGCATGAATTCAAATAAGCTGGGAGAAAATGAGAAATCATATCCAAATCAGCTTTGGAAAACAAACAACATCATGCAATGAATCTGTCCTGGAGCTTATCTGGAAGTGGTGTAAGACATGATAAAGGAACATTTGAAAATAATAGTGTGTGTTTGCTGGTCTTGCTTAATAAAGCTCCGGCAATTCCTAAAAAGATCCGACTGGGACACAGTTTAACCAAAGACAAGTATCAAAAATAAAGACTGTCGTCCCACAGGGATCAAATTTCTAATGGGACAAATTATCATAGGGATTTTTGACTGAGATACAGCCTGAATCAAAGAAAAATATAGTTTTAAAAGTCCTTAAGTACCTTTAAAACTTTTTAAAGAGGAGTATGATTTTTCTTTTTGCTTGGAGACTGCAGCCGTTTAAGAAAAAGACATACATGTATTTTATTTTGCTTTAGATTTATAATTCAGTTTAGTCATTCTAAAACTAGAGATTAAAACAGACTCTTTAGCCATGCTGGGAGTTTGTGTAATTGGCTTAGTTACTTAGAAATGGTACACAACAACCTTAGAGAGCAAGAAGATAAAGAGTATCATTAAAATTTGGGATTTATTTTATCAATGGTTAGAAAAGAGAATAGGGAAATAGGATATAATACAATATAAATACAATGATAGAGTAAAGATAAAACAATGTAATATAATGAGTTATAATGGAATGAATGATATCACGAATTGAGCTATCTTAGAAACTGAAATTTGCTCGAAAAGGATGTTACAGTTTATAAGTAAAGTCCAATATGTAATTAATAACAATACAATATAATATGCATATTCATGTAAAATAAATTTTAATAATGTAGTTAGAAGGGAAGGACTGTTGATATTGTGCACAAGAAGATTTATACCGACACACTGTACAATGGAAAGAAGGTTTTATGTTTTGTGTTTATGTTTATGTTTGTTGTTAAAAAAAAATTATCCCCCCAAAAGAAAGAAATGGTATACAACAATCAAGTGTCATCCTAAAAAGTAAAAGGAAAAAAGATTAGAAAAAGCAATGCTTAAGCCTGCTGTGCCACTGGTCCATATTCCTAATTTTTCTCTCAAATCAAACTGTACAAAATATGCGTCGGAAAGGATATTAGTATTATACACCAGTTTCCTCATTTTATGTTGAAAAGCACAATTGTGACATCATTGATTAAGCATTCTCTTAGCTTTAGATGTCTTGACTCACTTCCATAATTTAACAACCTTGGGTCCTCTTTTTTACAGCAATGATTGATTTTGGGCTAAAAATGACATTCATAGAATCTGATGACTTCATCCCTTCATTCCTAGATTAACCACATGTTGTTCCTCTTCCTGTTGATCTGACTTCTTACACAATTATACATATTTTTCCTTTTTGCCAGTGCTCTGGCAAAAAGTATCTGGTCAACTTTAGCCCCATTATGCATCGCTTTAAAAGGCCATTCAGACAGTGAGAGGCATGATTTAAAATAAATTTAACTTGAGGTTGAAATTATTTTAAATCAGGTATCTTGCTTTCTGAATGTCCAAGATGATTAGGGGGCCGAAGACTAAAGAATATGAAGAGCGGTTGCTGGAATTGGTATGTCTAGTTTA